TGGCTGATGTAGTAATCATAATACCAAAAGAAGGCAGGGACCCAATGAACTGCTCGAGCTATCGACCTCAAACTGTTCGCAAACCTGGGCGGAGTTCCCCGTCAGGTGGTGCACGGATAAACTGAGATACCTGGGCACCTGGCTGGCACGAGACCTCACCCAATTGTACCGGCTTAATTATCTTCCCCTGCTGGACACACTCCAAAAAGACATGCAACGCTGGACTCCGAGATACTTCTCGTGGTTCATTAGGGTCAACACGGTCAAGATGAATTCCAAACCATCCCGGTCACCAACCCCTGGGACATTCTTTAATACCCTACCCACGGCGATACGGCAGTTCGTATGAAACCATCGCCAGCCCAGACTTCGGCGGGTCCTCCTGGAGCTGCCCAAAGTGGCTTGAGGGATGGGTCTCCAATCTATTACAACATATTATCATGCTTCCCACCTGCATAGATGCCTAGATTGGCACACGTACCCTGCAAAGAAACTATAGGTGTCTCTAGAGACCCAACAAGCAGAGGGCAAGATCCCATTTGCACTCTGACTGGGTACAGGGACGCTAAGCTCACTACGTACATATAACCCTTTGATAGATGCCACACTGGGCATCTGGTGTGCGCTACGTTTTAAAAGACAACTGACTACATCACCCAACCCACTTACCCCTATCACGAACAACCCAGACCTGGCAGGTGGGTTGCAAGCTTGAGACCTGGCAGGACTCCGGGTAGTAGACTGGGTATACACGCACCACTGGTGCACACAGCCCCTCGCTGCATTGCTCCCAGACAGACCACTGACACCACTGGAACAGTTCCGATACCACCAAGTTAAGACGTACTATGGGTCCCTGCCCAGCCGGAGACAGATACACAGACCCCTGACTCAGTTTAAGATGCTCTGTGCCAGGAGGGAACAAGTCATAAAGGGCATCTCATCTATGTACACACTACTTATGTCTAGAGGTGACATAGTTCTCGGGTATACAAGTAGATGGGAGAGAGATACAGGAATCACCCTCTCAGACCAGGAATGGGACAAAGTTTTCACTATAACCCACAAATACTCCATCAGCTCTAAGTTCCAGGAAATGAGCTACAAAGTGTTAACATTCTGCACTACTCACAGGGGTTCGGTCTCCTGAACCGTATACCACGACAGTGGTGACACACAATACTGACAAGGAGAAAGTTCAGACAGGTACATAAACCCTCGATCCACCCCATGGCTATAAACATACCCGAAACCAAATGAAGATGGCCCGACGCTTAACTTAAGACGTACTCCACATTACCGAGGACAAAACCGCATGCAACTAACATAACCACTGGCACCGGCAGACGAACACAGACTTACACCTACACACGACGCATAACAACACACACGCTACAAGCAAACCCATTGATACCCACTACCGGTGTACCCCTAGGCCTGTATGCATATCCCATCACGATTATACTCCAGACGAGACGATGTCATGTTCAGAAAAGACAAAAGATGCACACTGGTAGCGTTCATTATTACCCTAGCACCCCTGTTAGCTATACGTATTAAAACACACTTCTGCACTACATTAGGCAACACCACTACATACAGTTTAAACTCTTGAATTGAAATACCTGATAATGAGACAGGCAGAGAGTCCAGAGATGTACAAATGAATCTTATTATTGCTATTTATATAGCGCCAACAGATTCCGTAGCGCTTTACAATATTATGAGAGGGGGGATTTAACTATAAATAGGACAATTACAAAAAACTTACAGGAACGATAGGTTGAAGAGGACCCTGCTCAAACGAGCTTACATTCTATAGGACTCTTAATAGATAAGTGATGCCAATCTGTAACTACACTGGAGGTATGTCCATCTCAAACGTTATTCTTCTGCATTTGACGGATACCGAGTCATACCAACTGTCAAAATGTAACTGAACTGTATACATTTGTTCTCTGAACAGCGAAATTAATTTATTGTGAAAAAAATTAAGATTGTCAAAAAAAAAAAATGTCTTTGAAGGAATGTTCCGAATACCCAAACCACGAAAGGCTCCAACCGCAGCTCCCAGGGACCTTGTGATCCAATTTCAAAACATCAAGGATAAAACAGCGGTACAGGCTGCGCTGCAGGGGAATGCTACCTATAAATTTGAAAATCTGGAGCTATCTTATTACGCATATCTGTTTGGCGCCACACTCCAATGGCGGAAAACTATGCAACCTCTTACCACAGTCCTGCAGGAACAAGGTATCCGGTATCACTGACGCCCTTCTCAGACCTTACACGGACACTTACCACACTGTCCATGATCTCAAAAGTGTGGCTGCACTATTGGGAACCCTGGTACCACTCGGGCCACATGAGATCACTCGGGCCACACACACATGGAACCCATCAACGGTCACCGCATTCCTTTTTCGGACACGTATGCAGCAGCCACAACCTGAGGCCTCCCCGCACTCATTGGGCCCGTCACATCATGGTTTCCTCTACTATCACTGAACGGAACAGTATATGGTTATAATGTTTACATCTGTTTATCACTTTACTCATTATCTTTGTTTTCTTTGCTTCCCTTGATGTGCCGTATCTTCCCGATTGAAAGACATATGCTCAGGTGGCTGACCTAGGCAGGGAAACACCTGGCAGTTAGGAAAATTGCATAGAGCAATTGGCTTACTCACCCCGCACACGGAACGCTAGTGACCAATTGTACATAGTTAATTCCTCATAATACACTTCTCTTGTATTGGTTTACATATGTAGATTGCCAGCCCCTGACTGCTGACCATACTTAACCCTCCAGAGGTCAGACAGGGCTGACAACACACAAGTCTTAGGCTCATGGAGCAACCGCATGCCCCACCTAGTCACGTGCCTACACCTACTCTCTCCCGATCTGATTTGTATCGTGCAGTTGTGATTAATTCTACTCTGAGCTCTATATCTCTCTGCAGATCCATGCCATATATGGTATTATTGCCAGCTCTTCAACAGGTCTATTAGATAACACGCATAACGCATAGCAACCAACACTAGCTTATACATACTGTGAATACTCCATAACTATAGATAGATCTTTCTCAATGTGAACTAAGGCAAAACTAAATGGTTTTCTCAGATGTCACTCGTTCTTTCACAAAAACATTTTTAAATGTGTGCTGTTACCTCTGATATGTTAAGTACAAATTACTAGTCTAAAACCTTACCTTGATCCATGCCAAATGTCATTATGCCTTGTTCCTTATTATGCATTATGCATTGTTCCTTAATCTGTATTGTGTATGCATTTTGGTCACCAGTCCTGCAAAATGCATGTTGTGGGTGTACACCTAATTCAGTTTTAAGTCTGGAATCCAGACCAGATTCCCTTTGGGGTTAAGTACCATGCCCAGCCCACTCACAATCAGAGGCCCCTTTGGAGATGACCACAGGTATATATTTAAGTAGGTTTGGGATAGTAATGTCACTTTAATTGTAATTTTCATAGAGCAGATGTATGATATGCCAAGTAACCAAAACAGTACAACCTCAATGAATCACAAGCTGTACACACCTGTGGGGAAACCCTTCATCCTCACAACAAACAAATACAACAAACAAGAAAATACATGGGTTGGACCTTTCAAAGAAAAAGGCTAGTATATATATGTATATCAGGTCCTTGTCCCCTCACTCACCTACCTCGCGCTCCTACGCCGTATCTCTCATTTACTCCATGAGGACGCCGTGTCGGAGCGCAACCCACCAGGCAGCGCGGTTAGTTCAATCGCCCACGCCGACTGCTCACGTCCATATGAACAGCACCTCTCTTTGCACAAATGCCACTTGCCAGATACAGAACGCCACCTCTGTTCATGCAAACGCTACTCACCTATACTGCAGACAGAACTCTATTCGTAGGGATGCCGGCTCCTAAGCACAGCAAGAACAGAAGTCTGTTCATAAG